GACATCATGAGCATCGATCCTAGACAAACTTCTAGACTCTAAAATGAACATATTTTACAGAAAAAACAGTTGTTAAATTATCTTAATAAAAGATAACAAAAAAGAGCCCAGTAATCTAGACTTGCCCACTTTTATAGTCTGGCATAGGGTGTATTGAATATGTTAGTTTCTGAGTCTGTAGAACAGACTACATCGATCCAAACAACCAAGTCATCGAGCATGACCACCCCCATCCATCTAATCGCCTCTTGCTACCAGCATAGGGGACCTATTCTAACCCAGAATCCACATTTAAGTTAATCATTTTTATTCATTGTTGATGCTGAATGACGTCAGACAGTAAATAATAGAGTGTGGACCAGACAATCTAAAATTTGATATAATGAGAATTGATCCCCAACAAAAGCGTGCGATTACACACAATCAAGGAAGTAGGGAGCCTGACCAACCAACCCAAGACAAATCTTATAACTTGCATAGGTAGCTGGGGACCAGCCTTGCTCCAAGTCTGTACTGAAATAAAAGTCCATGGATGTGTTGTAATGCTATCCTCCTAATAGGCAAGTCTAGATATGTGGACAGTACAGGGCTCCAGTCTCTTACAGGGACAACTTGTTCTGATTATTTACATAATCTTATGATTTAAACTAATAATTATTGTCTTAGAGACTTGTGCAAGTCTAGCTGGGGACCTGTTCCAACATGGATTCCCCGTGGGATTTTTAATAACCTCCTCAGCCACCTGATCTGAAGGTTAGGAGCCCTTATGTTACAACAAGAATCTCTCTGAAGATGTCACTAGATTCTCAATGGGTGATCCATGACCTAAAAGTGTCTTCATCTGAACACATTCAGGTTGTGGACGTTCATAGCTGTTTAATACTGTTTATAGAAGATTTCATCAATGATAAATGTGGTTTCTGTTATGACCGATTCAATCTGGTTCAGCCTGACTGATATTTACACTGTACAATTCATGAAGTTTGTATGTCTTCAATTATTTTAACTTTCCATGCATGACATGGCCATTGCGGATATTTCAGGTTAAAATGAGGAATAATTGACATGATGTTGGACAAGAACCATCCCTCGTTTCCATGAGACACCAAATGATGCTGCAATGATTATCAATAAAAACACGGAATGTTTTGTGCCTCATTTTGTCAGCACTAATTATTTCATTTTGTGTCCCTCCAGTGATCTGATCTACAACACACTTTATGGGCATCCTGTGCATAATTACATACTAGTTACTTTCCTTCTGATTGTCCTCCACCCCCGCATCCCCTCCCCCTTCTGCATCCCCTCCCCCTTCTCCATCCCCTCCCCTCCATCCCTGAAGCCAATCAATCCATGCTTACTCCTGTGAGTTCAGTATCACAGTCTGTGCCAAAAACTTTTGACACAAGCCCGAACTTGGCTCTAAGCATCATTTTTCACAGAATTTAGTGTTATTTTAGTTCAATTAGCTGAGCTTACTGAAGCAAACAGAATTTTACCAGGCTCCGGCTCCAGCTCCGGACTACTGACTTAAGTCACAGATTGGTATCATGGCCCTGGTCAGGTATTATCAGTGTTCACAATTAAAGGGGGGCATTGAGGCTTGCTGCTGTAGTACTTGAATCTTGGGACCCCATCACCTTTTAGATTTAAACATTAGGGTTACGACAAGGATCACTTTTCTTGCATGCTTAATTTCAAACACTGATACTACACATCTTGCACCCCAACTTCTCACCCTCTGTCACCCCCACCTCCGTGACCTACCCCACACTCATTAATCCAAGCCTGTTCAATCACAATGATCCTCCCCCTCCCAACCCAAATATATTCCCCAGACTATCACAGTCTCTGAAAAAATATAATTATGACCGAAACAACTCCATATTAATTGTGAAGATTCAGAACCTGAGGAAAATGTAGACTTGCTCCGTTTAGAGCATTTGCATTACAGTAAGGGCTAGACGGAAGAGAAATTAATATGTTTCAGGCACTGTATGTAAGACAGACTATATATTCCCTTACCCTGATCCCAACCAATCGGCTCTCCAAAGTCCTTTCACTGACAATATATCCTCACCCCCCCACACCTATCTCCTTCCACCCAAGCTGTCGCAAGGCCCCACCCCACCCCATCCCATCCCCCCACAGCTGTCAATATTGTAAACAGTTCTGAACTACTACAACTCTGAAATAAACTGAAACCTCTGTGTCAGCTTCTTTAATTGGCCAAGCAGGCCTATTAGATAAAGAGCTATAACAGCCTATGTGGTGGAAGCCTGAATCATGTCACAGATTGTATTGATCCGCATGTCTAGTGCTATTGTAAGAAGGACAATTGTTAGCATATACCTTGACCTAGCTGGGTCTCCTGCCCCACAACATACCACTTACAGAGGTCGCCCTACTACCACACACATGACAATGGTTCTGGGGACTAGTCTTGTTTGGATCTCTTGACCAGTGTTGGAAGCTGTGGTGGGTCCTGGAGGGCTGCTCCTGTAGCATACTGCTCCACTTTTGACAGGGATATTTTTATCTCTCCATGATACACAAAACTGTTTCTATATATGTGAGTCTGTGTTAGTGTATATTTAAATATACATGTCTGATCCCTATTAAAATTTGAGTAGTATACTTGAATCAAGGTTCCCCCAATTTTTACATTATGGCTCTGACAAGGACCCCATGACTTTCATACAGAATTCTTTTAAAATGGCAAGCTTAGACAGCAATATTTAGGCATGAAAGTCAAGGGAGAGCATAAATGAGATTTTGGGGTCAAACACTATGGAAGCAAACCTCAAGGGCCCCATGACTTTAATTTTGAACACTGTCAGGTGATGTATTATTTATACACCGAGACTATAATTCACTGTCCTGAGCCCACTGAAAGTTATCGTTCATTAATCTATTTGCCATATTCATCCTGAGCAGGATCAGATTCCAAATCCATTGAACACAGATGGTAAAGTTGCGAATATAATCAGCTGAACTCTCCTTACTGTATGACAGAGTACATGTGATCTATCGGAAAACACATCAGGCCATTTTGATTAATATTTCAAATGATCTACATGGCATCAAACCCTGTACGTACATGAATATAATAGGTTTGAAATTGAAACCAAAAGTCACGGAGTTCTACTGTTAAAAATGAAAAATTGAAGGTCTCTGACTGAAATACCACAGAGCCAACAATCAAGAACCTCCGAGAAATTTGACACTGTTAACAATTTCATGAACATAGTTGTACGCTGTTTTTAGAAATATTCCAGCAATACTACAACGGGGGACACCAGAAATCAAACAATAGTTATGAGTTTGTATTATTCTAGGAATACTACCTCTATTACATCATAACAATAAATTCCTGTTTTGGCTGTAATTTTTCACCAGATGTCCTCTTCACTGCCACCATATCTAATATCTTGCTTGACAATGGTATAAGGATCTATACTGAAACGTCGCCATTACATTAATTAAAGAAGCTGTTATCGATAAATTGTGTCTCCTTTGTCATCCATCAACTTCTAAGTAATGCCTATCAAAAGATTTGTCTAATAGTTGTGAGGTAAACCCTATCCTCTGCTAATGCAAGTGCGCACGAGACGGGAAAACATCACTTCTTTCTTGTGTGTCCACACACTGGACCCATGTGGGGAGTCGAACCTGGGCCTCAGCATTGCAAACAAATGTTTTAACCACTAGGGCCACTGCCTTTCATGACAGGGTGAAAACAATAATTATAACAAAGAACAGAGTGAGTGAGTGAGTTGGGTTTAATGCCGCTTTGAACAGTATTTCTGTTACACCACGGCGTGTCAGCTTGATGTGGAAGGAAACCAAGTGATGCATGTCTCAGAAGTTTAACTCTGGTGAAACCCACAAGCATTGGTATGGTGCTGACCAACTTAAAAACATAATCGGGATTCGAACACGGAGAAGAGATCCCATGGTAATGAAAGATACCACGATAATGTCCAAAGCATATTTCTCAACAATGCCATGAAGTTATGACAGCCACAAACACACTGTAAAATTCAACAGTAGATCTCAAGCTTTAAGAACAAAAACCTGTATACATATTTAAATTTCTTCCAACGTGAGCTGATGAAAACCCATTTCACTGTAATATTCAAACAAAGAACAGGAGATTCCGCTGCTATCCCCAAAACAGATATATACATTTTCCACAATGATGGAATCTGATTTGTAGCAACCAGGAAGAGGACCCAGGAAGACCGTTCTTGACTGAGAGAATACTGACCTATATATCAATATGATACACAAACACAACCTAGAACAATTCAGTATATGAATGTCTGCTGTAGAGTGCATCCTCATCCCAGCAAGCTGTTCCTTTATCCTCCCTGATGCAGGTACCAGGCGCATCCCTTCTCCAATTACAACCCAGATTCTCCACTGATAATCACACACCAGGCAAGATATGCTGCACCTCTTTTTCCACCACTAGGCCTATACCTACAACCTCTGGGCTTCACATACCTCCCATCAATGGAGAGTAGCTATATATCTACCACCTCCTGTAAACCTATTCAGTGATACAAAGTTGGACTAATATTATTATGGTATTATTTATTGGCATTGGAATTTTTGAATATAAATGGCCTGAGAATTTGACATCTAACAATTTTACCCTCTATCAAAAGTGTTCTTCCGTTCATACAATGTACTTTAGTTGTTGTGTTGTTTACATAACAAAGCCCTGACACGATAAACATGAATCGACTTCAACATAATCTCATGGTATTCATTAAAAGCAGTTTGTCCCATACAGCCTCAAGTAACTAGGAGTTGGGAAGATAGTGAAAGTGAGAAGGGCCAACTCACTCCATCGACCTGAGATACTACACACACACACACACACACACACACAAAGTCTCCTGAACTTGTTTCTTCACAGAAACAAGTCACAACCTCCCCCCTCAACAACAGACAGTGACACAAAATGAGAAAAAAACAGAAGGTGTACTTACATGAGTGAGTATGTAGCAGTTTATCCACAGCTAACACATCCCTGTGTCCTCTACGTCGGCCACTGGAGTAGTACACACGGTAGAAGTCCAAGTAAGCAGGGAGCAGACAACGCAGGCAACGCAGGCTGAGCAGTATAACCTTAGAGAGCCCCGTGAGCAGACGGGCTGGCAGGCTGGAGCAGACGGGCAGCAAGCAGGCAGACGGGCTGAGGCAAGGCTGCAGTGTGGTTGTACAGCAGGCTGGGGGCTTGGCAGGGCAGGGGGGTGTCTGACAGTCGTCCCTCTGATTCCCTAGACATGGTATTCCGGTAGTCTGCTACCTCAATATACAGTGAATGAAGGAATGTGTGGTAACTGGAGAAAGTTAATATTCACCTGGTGAAGTCAGGTTTGAGTTGTGCTGTTGTGGTAGGTGTTGTGTTTCTACTTCCACACTGTGTAGAATTCAGTGATAATTCATTAAAAAAATTTTACAAAATAAAATCTATATTTAGAAATGTTACGAGGTCAAGCTTATGAAATACTAAATTAGTAATGCCATGACAAAATATATGTCATGCAGTAATCATTAATTGAACAGTAAATGAATCTGGTAACATCAGAAGTATACATACACATCCAGTTTGAAATTAACCATGAAAGTCAAGGGGTCCTTATTACTAAATAATTTAGTGAGTCACAAGATTCAAATACCACAGAAGATCTACAGGGCCCAAGAGCCCTGTTGTTTCAAGCACTGAAAATCCAATACAATAACATACAAAGAGAAGTACCTTCATCCTTGACGATGATACAGATTCTATATCTGCAACATACCACAGATGTTAAATAGATTCAGGCTAAATCATACACTCGAAAACCCTCATGTCCAACCTAACCCATCCCTAAATAAAGTGAAGGCCTGCATAAGGAAGAGAGTTTGCCTCAAGTTGAACACAGCCTTTAGACAACTTGAATTGTTTCTTTGTAAGTGTTTTCGTACTTGTTATTATTCACCTTGTTACACATCAAAAGATGTATCCAGATCATTCATCACTATAGGATGGGATCCAAGTGGTCATTCAAGCGGTCACATAAACATTTATTGCAAGACGCAAAAGACTACCAATAAAATGGTAATTATTAGGTATGACTAATACAACATTTTGGTCTCCGGTTACCAATAGGAACCAGCCCTAGGCTTCGGTAGCTGCCCCAGGGGAGGTGTTTGATGTCTGTCAGTAGGTTTTCATATCGACTTTACACCTCTCACCCGCCACCCTTCAATAATGGTGTCAGCGGGGCACCTACTTGAGGGGGATGTGAACCTGCTGTCAGGGTGGGGAACTCCCCTGGGCTTGCTGGAGGGAGATAATGAATGTTATGTCATGGTTAGGAAGGAGGAATCCAGCCTGTTAAACTCCATTGTTTAGAGTAAAGAGCCAGAGTCGGAATGAGAGTATGTGGAGGGTCATCTTCCCGAGGCAAGTGAGTTAACTGACTATAAAAGTCCAGTTTCCACCCTTGACGAACTAGGCTGGTATTATGGAATTACATTTTGGCTGGACTAACGAGTCTATGCATAGTCCAATCAAAATCGCGCACCGAAATCGAAATCCGGTTCGTAAAGTGTCATGCAGATTTCGGTCGAATGCAGTATTTGCAAAGCATGTGCACCGCTCACTTGTTGTCAACAGATATTTTCTAAATCTTTTCATGCTTTTAATCAAGGTGCACACGTGATTTGATGCACTTTGCGATGTAAGACTCGTTTTATCACAATATAGATCTTGATTATCGATCAGATCATCTTGACTGGGCGCCACCGTTTTGTTTGAAGCAAATGCAAGTGATACGTGTGGTTAAATCTGATTGGTCAATAGGAGAGGCATAGAAAGGACATAACTCGTAATAGCCACTGGTGGCGCTTCGATCGAGCCCAGTAATTCCAGCCTAGTTCGGCAAGGGTTGAAACTGGACTTTTAAAGTCAGTTAACGCTCTTTCCTCGGGAAGATGGTGGGGTGTGTATGATCCGCTTGGTCACGACAGACTGGGACACTTTCTTTTCCCTTATTTGATCACAGATCTGCTGACCCTTCTGTCACGGAAAAATAAAATTGAAAATTGAAAATTTCTTTTTGCCAACGCTTCGTACAAAATTATATTGCATTGTTAAAAAAGTTTCTTTAAAATAATAAAACGATGCTCGATTTGATATTCATATCAATCAGTCACAGTGGATTCTTGGCAAAATAAATCTAGCTCTGTCCAATTGTCCTTGATTCATGGATTTCACAGAAATTGACATCGATTCTCCAGAGAAAAGCCGAAGCTTTGCTGCAGACAATGGCACCATGGTGAATTGCCCTCAAATCCAAACGGCAGCGAGTTGTCTACACTCTCTATTATCCAGTGGATTATATCACCATTCTGTTCATATCTGTTTCTTGGACCCATTAGTGTCTTGTCTGTTGCAACCAGATTCAAAACAAGGTGAGACATACTGTAAATAGGCTGGATAATCGAGGATGAATGGTCTGTGAGTTTTCGGATCAGACACACACTTTTTTCTTTTCCCTTCCCAAACTTCTGACTTTGGCTGATGACATCAGGGGTCCAACAAATAAACATTTCTCAGTGTAAATGTAACCGGTCATTCGTGACCAACTTGTGTTATTCCGGGACAAGCTGAATAGCTACTCCTGCCCTTCTCATGGCCATTTTTGCGGCTGAATTTCGTCTTAGCACAAACGGGCATATATGCCATACCTAAAACAATTGTCAACTCGTTGCGTAATGGTTTACACATTTACCCCATATATTATATATATTTCAGATGCAATTTAAAGCACACCAGGACGTGCGGAATTATACAGTATGATTGAACACATTTAACTGTGTCTTTGGTAATTTTTAGATGCAAGACATATGTAAAATTAAAAATTATTTCTGAGGGATTCTTAAAGAAGGACTTGAAATCATGTGCGCATTCTGATTGGTTTGTCGTATTTTCGCACATAACATTCATTGAAAGGGGGACGAGTCTTCTTGCAGGTTACGGAAAGGGGCGAGGGGTGACGAATGTGTAACCGGTGTTTGAAATAATTCTGAACCCCAACAAAACGGTCAAGCAGGTGACCCATAAATGTTGCCTGCCCATCTTCAAAAATACCCGCCCACATTTAGACATTATTCAGACATTACAAATATTGAAAAATAGCAAAAACTAAGAGATAAACCCCATCTTGATTCGGTTGAAATGATGCAAACAATTTACTTGAGAATCTACAAGGACTTATGATAAAACGGAATCAGTAAGTAGTCTTTAAATTATCTGCCAGACAGTCGGGCAGGCGGAGGAAACTTTCAGAACTGACAGAAAAGTTATCAAGGCAGTTACATTGGACACTGACTGCAACTGCTTTGCTTGTTTCTCTTAAAATGATATATTTTCAGAGACATGCATTTGTTTAAGCTTAATGCTAAGTTTGGCATTCAAACAAAACCTCTCTCAAGGCATGTATAGGAGCAAAGTGAGTTGTTACAAGCAACCCTGGGGACATGTCCCGCAGCTGGTGGAGTATTTTGACACTCTTAGTAGTGTTAGGTTCTAATCCCTGCCCAAGGCCCTGTGATTGTACTGGGGCCAGGCATGCTGCAGGCTTAACTTCAATGCAGTGGTGATAAGTAGTGACAAGTCATGCAATTAACTTTATCATGTTTAGGAGTTTGTGATGGATCAGACAAATTGATGCAATTATGTTCGAAAAATCAATGGGTATTTATGTACACCTGGAAATATACAATCACCACCCATCTTTATTTTCATACATCTCAAACTTTGGTGTGTCGGCTTTTCTAATATTTTCTGCATAAATACTGTGAACGAAAGTTCCAACAAATATGGTCCAACTAAATTACACAATGTTTCTAAATATGCAACAGCAAATATACAACTGTAAGTTTGTTGTGATACACAACAGTTAAATATACTTTTCACACAGTTTCAGCCCTGAGGCTTTATACGTTCCAAGGAGAATAATTTTCAGTAGACTTTAGTCAGAGCTTGTGGACTACTATCTGCTGATTTTACTGGGCCAGAAGAAATTGTACTAGACTGGGGCTTCAGACTAGTGGCTATAGTGGAAGACTGGCATAGTGAATTACAGGGGCAGAGCAGTACATTAGCTACCTCACTACCACATTTCCAACATTAGACACTCAGGCGTCAATTAATTTCGGCCTTTTGTATTAAAAGCCTAGTGTCTATTCAGTTTATTTCTGGCACAGTGGTAACTCACTACTAGGGCTGTTACGATTCACTTGCATATTTGGTGAATCTAACCGTATTCATTCATGAATTGAATTCATTATTCGTGGCCACTAGAATCGGATATTTATGGATATGCATTCATGTGCATTTAGATATCCTGTGGCTAAAAGTATCCATAAGAACATACTGGTATTATATGCATAGATTTCAAGACAAACATTCTTATTATATTTAATTTGATAGTATTGTGGTCAGTGGTCAATGTCGCACTTGAGCAGATACTAGTACCTGGACAAGTGCAGTATATAAATGTATAATATGTTAATAAATAACAAACCATGTCAAATAATTTATGTTGTTATTGTTTCACTGCATATAACAAATAATACATCAACTGCTGACTTGTTATTGTATTCGTGAAATAATATTCCTCTTCGTTACCCTATATTCATGATAGGAATCGTATTCGCCTCCTAGTGTATTCATTGCAGCCCTACTCACTACCTCACCAAATCCCACATTGTACAGACATACAAGACCCGTGAAAATCCAGGGTAGAATAGGTCTTCAGCAACCCATGTTTGCCGTTAAAAGTGACTATGCTTGTCGTAAGAGACGACTAAGGGGATCGGGGGGTCAGGCTCGCTGTCTTTGATGATGCATGTCATCGCATCCCAATTGCGTGGATCGATGCTCATGATATCAATCACTGGATTGTCTGGTCCAGACTCGATTATTTACAGACCGCCGTCATATAGTTGTAATATTGCTGAGTACGGCGTAAAACAACAAACAAACAGACATACAAGGGGTACATTCGCAGGTAATGGTCATTATTTATCACCCACACATCATCGTATTTGTGGCCTGGCTCTTTTATTTTTGAACAGAGAGTATGACCCAGTGTCAAATAATTTCCTGGCATGTAATAGAGGAAATACGGTATTCCAGCTATCACTGATGCATTAATCAACCATCCTCCTCCACAAGGACTCTGTGGAAACTGGTAATGCTTGTGTAACAGGTCTAAGATAATCTGATAGCCATTAACCATTCGTTTCAATGACCACATCGTCTATTATACTGTCTGGTACTGGTGAATATTGTAACAGGCTG